TCTTATTTCAGTCAACTGTTCTAAACTTGATTTTGCAAAATATTCAGTTCAGTTTAAGGGTACTGTTTACACATGAACTAATGCATTGTAAAACAAATTCATAACGTTGAACAGATTATTGTCATGAGTTCAGTAAATGATGAAAATCAGTGAAAATTGGCGAATTCTTAAGAAAACTTTACACCAAAACGCAGCTGTTCACATGAACGATATTTGCACATGCTTTTTAGCAATTTGATGCATGATCCTCTTACAATTCATCTGCATAAAGTTTGCAGTTGGCTCCCCCAAGTTAGTGGAGAAATTCATCTTCGATGTAACCATATGTATATGTATAACATATAGTGAGTCCTTTAGGTGAGTCTAAACTTTTGATGGGTAGTATATATTATACAAAACTAAAACATTCAAGGACCTACTGAAGCCAGGAGAAGTCCAGACTCATGACATTCTGGATTAGGGGATCTACCTGTATTAGTTCGATGATTGCTTCATTACCAACAAACAATCATCGAAAAAAATTGGATAGCGTCATTTCAGATTTTCCTATCCAGGTTGTTATTGCAGATATGTATAACATGATGCAACTTGCTACTTTTAAGTGATGACTAATATATCATGAACATAAACTTCCTGGAGTCTTCAAGAAATATTCAGTTATGGCTTTTCAGTTAGTGAAGTGAGTTTTCTAAGAATTAAACACGTTTTCAGGCCCTGACAACTTCTAAGATATGTTCCATTGTCAAGTATTTCAAAGACTAAAACATAGTTCCAAAATTGTATATGTTCGATTATGAGAAAATGTGATCGATTGCTTGGTCGTTTGGTCACTGCGACCAATCTTTGATTATTTCAATTACTTGGAAGACCACTAATCTGTATCCAGGCCAGCCTATACCTGCTTACATGGCATACATGTTTTACTGTTATCTCCAAAATACAGGATGGCTGGAGCACATATTTCAGGGGCAAACATAATTTATAATGGTAAATCTATTGTCATATTTTCTTCTTGTGAATTTTGAAGGTAAACAATACTGTCCTATTGCTTCAGGTAAAGTCTTTCTTGTAACGAGTAAGGAAGAACAGTTACATTTTAGATGCAAGGTTACATGATTATTATGCAGTACAGAAATCCATGTGGAAAATGACACAACAGTAACAAACGCACCTGCAGAACAAGTCATTATACTGGTCTGGCCTATCCAAGTTAATTTGTCAGATAAAATATCAAAAGATATAAAATGGCAAAAACGTCATGAAAGCCTTCAATTTTATGCCAAAAATGCTACTAAAGAGCTAAGGATGAGTTTGTTTACATACGGTACATCTCGTGGTTCAAAGATCATGCACTAAGAATTTGATTTAAGAGCCAGAGCTGATTCCTCTGTAAATGCCATCTTGGCACAACCATGCCCAAGTTCTAGTTTTGTTGGAGCAAGGCAGATGTATGGGTGCTAGATCAAACCAATTCTACCTAATACTTTGAAGAATCTTTTATTATGTTCATATGTATACCATTTGTGTAGGGGCTTGGGGTAGCACAGTGGTTAATGCATTTTCTTGTCACACAGGAGGATTGGGTTCCATTTCCCAATGAGTGTAATGTGTGAAGCCCATTTCTGGTGTCACCTGCCATGATATTGCTGCAATATTGCTAGAAGTGGCGTATTACCTTACACACTGACTTGTAGTTTGGTAAATGTCCATTTGTAGACTTCTTGACAACACATTACCTGACAACTTTGTCAACAACTTTCTATATTATCTTCATTCCTTATAATTACACTCAGCATCACTTAATTGTTTAATAAAAACATCATGGTTCCTTATGATAAGGAGGAAGTGGAATTACATTTGTACCCCTTCAGATAATATTTGTACCCCATGGGATAACATTTGTACTCCATTGGACAACATTTGTATGCCATGGGATAACATTTATACCCCATGGGATAACATTTGTACCCTGTGGGATAACACCCACAGGTTGTATCTCATGGGATAACATTTGTACCCCATGGGATAACATTTGTACCATCAGTGGGATAACATTTGTACCCCATGGGATAACTTCTGTAACCCATGGGATAACATTTGTACCTTGTGGGAAACATCATCATGGTTCCTTATAATAAGAAGGAAGTGGAACAACATTTGTATCCTGTGGGATAACATTTGTTCCCCATGGGATAACATTTGTACCGCATTGGACATTTGTATGCCATGTGATAACATTTGTACCCAATGGGATAACATTTGTACCATGTTGGATAACATTTGTATCCCATGGAATAACATTTGTACCTTGTGGAATAACTTTTGTACCTTGTGGGATAACATTTGTACCCCAAGGTATAACATTTGTACCCCATGGGTTAACATTTGTACCCTGTGGGATAACATTTGTACCCAATGGGATAGCATTTGTCCACCATGAGATAACATTTGTACCCTGTCGGATAACATTTGTAACCTGTGGGATAACATTTGTACAGTATGTTTAATATTCAGGCTGAAATTTAATATTGCTGTAAATAAGTGCCGTAAGACTCAATATATTCATGCATGCCCTAAGATCACCAAATCTGAATAAGTTTAAATTGATTTGGTTTTGCTCCAACCCCATATGTTTATATTTGTTAAAATATTATTATGAGATAAGATTAGACTAACAACTAGTCTCTGAAATGAACATATTTTACAGAAAAAAGCTCATAGTAAAAAACAAAACAAATATAATAAAAAGGAGCCCTGAGACTTTCTTCATTTTCAGAAACTGAAGCTGTGGAAATCTAGACTTGCCACATTTTCTAGACTTGCATGTGGGATTTCTTGGATATATTTGCTTCAGGGTCTGTATGACAGACTGAGATTAGATATACCAGGGAACATACTGTCAACAAAATTGTGACTGCAATTTCTGTTGATTTGGCTGTGACATTTTACTCCAACATGTCCCCAGCATCAGACCAGATCATATATAATAGCCAGAAGGAGTGAAAGAAAACCTGATTTGTTTCATATGTCTAAAGTTAATCTGTCATTCTATTGTCATTGTTTGCAGAAGTATATTTTGTAATGTTTGATATGATGCTGCAAAAGCTAGCACTGACAAGGCACTCCGTCCACTAAAGCATTATATTGCTGCTGAATAGTAAATGTGGAAGTCATTGCATTAGGAGCCTGACATCTGATAGCTTTAATCTTGTTTATGGTACTCTGGAAATTAATTGTCATTAGTAAAGAAATGTTGGACAATATATGATCCCCACTACATCATTATTCACAGGATAACCACTACATTTAGTCTAATCTTCATCTATCACATACTTGATGTCACATGTTCACTTTATCCTCTCAAAGGTCATCACTGATGCAAAATGCAAGTCAAATAATTCAGAGGCCAAAAAAAATAATCAACTGATAAATTTCTTCTTTTTTTAAATTCACTATGGCAACCAGACAATGTCTTTAAAAAGTAGCTTGAGGAACGAGAGCTTTCAACCTGAAATTGTAGTGTTTACTGGAAGCCAACCCAAGAAGTAGATTAGTTGGGGACAACATTATGTGCTAAAACACAATGTCTCTTGATTGTCATTAGTAAATCTGTTTCAGTATGGTAGTTGTTTCTAGATTACTTTCTACACACTTGGGGATAATATTTAACATTATTTATTTTTTACTTTTTTTCCAACATCAATATCTTAAGATGTTAGTTAATTGGTTAATTCATTTAATTGCAGAATAAGAACTTGAATCGTGATTGTTACATATCAATTTCAACTAAAAACATGTAAGTTAAATTGTTTGATTCAGAGTGTGTGAGTGAGTGAGTTAAGTTTTATGCCGCTTTTAGCAATATTCCAGCAATATCACGGCGGGGGAAATGGGCTTCACACATTGTACCCATGTGGGGACTCGAACCCGGGTCTTCGGCATGACGTGCGAACGCTTTAACCACTGGGCTATCCCACTGCCCCCGTTTGATTCAGAACACTGATGAAAATACATTACTGAAGAATGTGTGTTAACATGATTTTACTGTAAGAGCTTCTCAACATACATCTTTTAATGTATCTAAAAATAATGGTAGTATCTTCCACTTTTATTCTATTTATGTGTGTATTATTAAATGGTTTTAAGACTGACCAACATACCAGAAGTTAGAAATACATTTACTTTTTATCAAATCATGTTCACAGTTGGTAGGTGAAACAAAGATCTGGAAATTGAATTTTGTTTCAATAACCTCTGTCCAACACACACTGCATTTGAGGCTGAACATTAAGTTAACCAACTACTAAAGAATAATAGGCCTCAGATGCAACCAAAGGGGCTAAAAGAAGTACCTTGACAAGCAAATACTTGGCAATGATTGGGTGCAGGTTTTCAATTGCCCATTCACAAGTAGCTTGTCACTGTATAGAAAAACAGACTAATAGGATATGAACAGTTGTAAGAAAACTTGAGACCAATGAGCTTTTAGCATGAAACCTACTACAGTATCAACTGTTTCTTGTGATAAGACAATTATGATAGACAAGACAGTTGTGTGGGTGTCGTGAGGTAAACTTTCTTGTCAGAATAAATTGATTTGTTTTCCGAATAATATCATTTCTTTTCATAATAGTATCATTGTTGTCAGAATAAATTGATTTGTTGTCCGAATAAAATCACTCATTGTCAGAATAGTGTCGTAGTCAGAACATATTTGTTGTCAGAACAGTATCATTTGTTGTCAGAATAATTTCATTTGCTGCCACAATCATTTGTTTTCAGAACAGTATCACCTGTTGTTGGAATAGAATCATCTCTTGTTAAAATAGTATCATGTCTTGTCAGAATAGAATCACATGTTGTCAGGAAAGTATTTTCTGTGGTCAGAATGGTATCATTTGTGGTCATAATTATGTAATCTGTTGCCAGGACAGTATAATCAATTGTCAGAGACTTCATAGAATAGAACAATGATAGAAGAAAGAAAACAAACAAAAATAGGAGTTTCAATATTTTCAAATGTTTTTGTTTTTATTTAAATACTGGCAAATAATATAAATTGGGTCAAATTTCAATAATGAAAAAAGAAATGTACATACATGATTCAAATCTGTGAGCTGAATAGATAAGCATTGACATGAAGATGACAGACAGCTGAGAAAGAGGTGAAATGTACAAGACATGGCTATGGTACAATATACAGGTTGACAGAGGACATAGGCAAGTAAGTCAAACTGACATAAAACTGACAAATCAGAAAATAAAATGGAAAAACACAAAGAAAAAGGAAAACCTCAATGTTGTCTTTACTGTGAAATATATATCAATAAAAGGGTGATTTAAGGTTAGATCTGAAGATAAAAATTCTGCAAAATAACAGGTTATTTTTAGTCCAAGTTAGATCTAAACTAAGCTGACAGTTAATGAGCAGACAGAGATACAGATTTTACAATACTTTCAGAAAGATATTGAGATACTCATCCACTTGAATCCAATGGGGAGATGAAGGTAGCTAGAGATTAAAGTTTAAACAGATTGAAATGAAACAACATCACAATGGTTTGATAGTTCATCATAAGGATAACTGACTGTATGAAATAAAGCTCTGTGACATTTCAGTTCAGTACAAAGCTGTTCCAACAGCTCTCATAATCTTTGGTTTGCACAAGTCCCCTGAGTTGTAGATTTCAATCATAGGTTATGGTATTAAAGGTACCAAGACTAAAATAATATCACTGGTTTCTCAGGCCCTACTTATAAGGAAAACACCTTAAGAAGAAATTATTGTTTCACTTTTACTTCAAAAACACAAATCTTAATAGATAGTACACTTTCATCAAACTTCTAGAACAAAATTACCTACGTGTAGGTGCCGTTGTTATTTACTTGTACTTGAAAAAAGTATTTCCCATCAGAAGCTTATTGTAAAAATCACTAGGTCACCTTGTTATTCTTGTTTCATCTCAGTAGGATAAAAAGTAATTAGCAACAGTGTTGGAATAATTCTGACAAGGGCAGTTAGTGCTTCCATAACAAGACATTTTGACATTCGTAAATAATGTTGCCTTTTTTGTGTACCGACAAAACCAAGATGATGAGAAACATTTTTTACATTTTTTTTTCTAGTTTTTCTCTTGGAGCAGTTTTTATAGTTGAGCATGATATGTTGATTCCTTCCGCTAGTCTGTCTGTATTGTCAGGTATATTTGTGGACCCCTAGATACTTTTCTAACCTGCTCCAGGATGTGGATACTTAATAACTGAGATTAATAGGTGCTCCATGACAATTTGATGGATTTAGCCTTGAAACAATTGTGATAATTTTGCAAAAACAACGACAGTGATTGAATCTGACAAATGGTTTAATCTTTTCTAATTGATGAAGTGTTAAGTTTGGCAGTGTTATAATTTACATTGATGATGACGACAAGTGGCCACATGATGTTTTCATGTGAGAAGTAATAAAAATATCAACAACATAGACAATAGAGCTGGTAATCAGCTATGTATAATGACTGCAAGACTGTACTATCTTCCACAAAACTACATACAACTATCATGACACATAAATATCTGCTCATATAAAACCAAGAGAAAACATACAGCAAATCCAATCTCATGTCCATATCGAGTATTTTCATGTATGGTACTGACTGCTGTTTGCAGTACAAAACTTCAATTCTTAAAGCATTTGAGTATCACATATTGCTTCCATCCTAACGTTGGGTATGTCACTGGTGATTGAGGTGATTTCGAAGCACTTATGACAGCTGGCAAACTCAAAAGCCTAATTCTTCTTAGGAATATGGCTCAAATATATTTGTTAGAATGGTAGTCAGGTGTAAATAAATAATCTCCATACATATCTTCTTATCAAATATTATAAGCAGATAGAAAGAAAATAAACATCTGATAAAATATCTATCAATAAATTGAAAAATTGAAATAAATTTGGGGATTATATTAGGGAATGGGTGTATGTCAATGTTTATGTACAGGGATGGGTGATGGATTAAGAAAAATCTAAGTGTGTTAACCTTGGTGTATAAAAGAAACAATTGCCCAATGGCATACATTCACCGAGTGAATGTCTTTAATGTTCACATTTAATGTTGACATAAAACATCCGATTGTCTAGTGTTAATTTAAGTGATTTATTGTGAAGGAAATATCTTATTGCACTTTTTGAGCATCTGCCAAAGCTGACCAATGCTTAGCATTCATTCCGAGTGATTGTCGAACAATGAGTCTTTGAAACTTTGTAAATATACAAGTTCATATACATAATTCTAATGAAGTCCCTAGAACTCTGAATGCAACATACATCATGACTGAATGTTATGCATAAAACAAGGACATCAATGCATCATTATACATCCATACCACAAGAACAGGTATCCAGTAACAAAATACTACTAGTCTGACTGATAATTCTAGGACAAGACACCTTGACGATTTTCTCAAAAAGCATGTGTGCACTACTCACAAATGTATGACTGCATCATCTGAAGAGACATTACATTGCTGGATGACACACTGAAATCCTACAATGTACATATTTACACCAGTGTAACATGCAAACATTCTAACTATTATGGACATAAGTTTTGAGGAAATCTGTAAACTGTCGGTTCTGAAATTATCAGACAGACTTTAGTCAAGTAGCCATGACAACCATCTAGGACTCATCCTTACATGTGCACCATGAACATCAGCATGGTGCTACTTGGGTTCCATGCATCAGGACATACAAAGTGGATTACCTGTTGGATTTAACAAGGAAATATTCATATACATACCATAAATACTGTGACAATAATAGTGTTTGAGTCAAAATACATAATTTGTACACATTCTGGATGTTGCTACAGTCATCCAAAACAACAAACGTAACATTGTATGTTCAATTTTTATAGTATTGTCGATAATGTTACCTCGAAGGTATATGTTCACTATCTGTTTAAAGCCTTGAGTGGTTACAACTGTCCCTAGAATATCCAGGAATAAGCCTTTCTTGAAGTTTCTGACACATTAATATACTTGGGCCCTGGGCCTATCGAAGAAGAATGGTTTGTTTACTCACAACGGACTCAAGAAGGGGGGATTTGTGTATTGGCTGAAGCCTGCCTCAACCTTCAAAATGAAAAGTCGTTTACAACATATCTGGTATTTTTGTGTATTCAGAGAGGATATAAGGACACGCTGCCAGAAGACCAGTGGTAATCCTAAGGGTCTGAAAGTCTACCACATGAATTTTCTCTAGGCCTCAGGGAAGTCTACTGTAGGGAGAGTCAGAGGATTTCATGCAGCATAGAACCAATAGTGTTGTCATCCCTGAGAAGTAGTTTAAGAGCATAGAAAGAGGCACAAATATTAACATCAACATTTACAAATAACAACAAAATCTTGTGTCAAAAGAAAACAAGAAACAGACTGCAGCTTGCACATTAAGCTCCAATGGTCCATGTAATTGAGGTATCGAGTTCTGTACCTGCACCAGACACAATCTATAACAACAGCCTTCCACAGCTTGCAACAATGGTCTATTTTGGGGCCAACTTGGTGCAATGACTGTAAATCTTGTGACAATGAACTAAGTGTTATATGAAGTTGCTGATGTCTATCCATGTTTAGGACTGAGCAGTTTCAACCCTCAGCCCCAAACATGGATACACATTGTGATTCTGAGACTACCAATGTTTCTGTGTAGGAATCTTACATCCAGCTACCCTGAATGAGGCTCATGGCTAGCATCCCAGTAAGGATCTCCATCACCAAACTTAATATACCATTACTGAATGACAATCAAACATGATGTTGGTACTGCTGACAAAAATACATACTCTTCTCCAATAATATAAATGCCGAAATGAAATATCAAAGTTTGTTCACAACAATAAAAATCTTCAGATAAGGTCTGGGTGCCAATGACATTGTATATTGATCAGCAAGTTATTTTCCTTTTAATTGAATCTGTGATGCATGCTTAAACTGCATCCTTCCCAGGAAATAGCATCTTTGTAAAGGCAATGTACTTAAATTTTCCATGCGTGCATCATCTGGGTCTAATGAGATTCTTTGCACCCAAATGTGTCCCTACTAACCTTAGCTAATGGCCTGTCACTTATCAACTACACCCAATGTGTTTAGTCAACAATAGAGGTCATGATACTTGAACAATAATACTTAAGGGACTTCATAATACCTCACCATGGCAAAATGTTGTTTCACACTGATCAATACTCCATACAAAATTAATCATATGTAGACAAGTACACATACATTTGAAGATTATCAAATTCAGATTCGCATCCAGATTCTTGTTAAATTTGATCAGGAGGCAAAATATGAAGTTAAAAGTTCATCAAGTATTTGGTGCCTATCAATATTCAGGAACCCTGTGTATTTTATTAAGGTTTTCCCACAAAACAATTTTTTTTATGAAAAACAGGAATCATGTACGTACGCTTTAACCTCCATCCACTAGCTCATTCTGCTTGAAACAATGTATCTACTAAAGCTGATCTCCATCCTATATTACCAACTTTCAGCTCCACAGAGAGCAAGCAATTTATCTCATTAATATCCCACTAGTTGGAGATCAACAATAATTGTGGATGCTCTTTTGATGTGTTACTTATTAACTTGAACAAAGCCCAAACAATCAATCATTTCCTAAGAACATCTCTCACTGGGAGCGTGACTACCTTTTAATTGCTGAGAGGCAAGACCATTACCATGAAGACTTAATTGGTTATGTTGCTTTTAACTGTATGGATGGTTAACTTGTTCATGCCAAAGGCTGATTAATATGAATGATTAAAGATCCATATTGGTCACACATACAATTAACCAATGGGTAGGTATCATACCTGTAGCCCTTCCTCCATACGAAATTGCTACAAAGTTCCAAGAATCTTGTTCCTGAGGATTCTCGGATCCACATGCAAGTGATTTTAGTACTATGTTTTCTGATTGGCTGTAGTTCACTGTGGGATGAATGCTGTGTCTGTACTACAATTGTTAAAGACTCTCCATCAACAGGACTTGTTATAGATTGTGGCAGAGTAAAACAAATGTTATAGATTAGGCTGTTTGACCAGTAATTGTATTCGGTTGTGACAATATCAGGAACAATTGTTAGAGACTGTGACAGTGTTGGCAACAAACGTTACAGACTGTGACAGCACCAGGAACAATTGTTACAGGCTCTGACAATACCAGAAACCATTGTTACAGACTGACAATACCAGGAACAATTGTTAGAGACTGTGACTATATGAACAACAAGTGTTATAGACTGAGACAATATGAGCAACCATTGTTATAGATTGGGACACTATTGGCAACAATTGTTATAGATTGTGATGGTATTGGCAACAATTGTTATAGATTGTGATGGTATTGGCAACAATTTTTTATAGATTGTGATGGTATTGGCAACAATTGTTATAGATTGTGATGGTATTGGCAACAATTGTTATAGATTGTGATGGTATTGTCAACAATTGTTATAGATTGCGATGGTATTGGCAACAATTGTTATAGATTGTGCCGGTATAATATAGATTCATATATCTGGTGATAATGAAGTGAAACTATCAACCTGATAAGCAATATCTGATGACCAAGATGAGAATGTTAATTCCTGCAGAAGCCAGCATAGCAGTGAAGTAAAGCTGCTTCCTGTCCAGTACTTGTACACATACAACAAGGTCCAGTGCTCTGTTGTGTACAGCTACAAGTACACAGGCAACTATATGTGCACCTTTAAAGAATAAGGACCAACAATTTCTGGATTTATACCCCAAATCTCTTTCTTTCTGTTGTCCTTTGATTAAATGAGAGATAAGATTCTAGTTTTCTCGTCAAAATCTCAGAATGGTAAAACAAATGAGACAAATCAATGTCTGTGTATGACTTATGACAGAAGCAACAACAAAGAGCGATATCTCATATGACAGATTCTGATACAGAATGACATTGATAAAATCTCTCCAATAATAATCTCTGGGAAACCCCTACTACACATGCCCTTGTAGAATGTGCAAAATGCAAACCATTGTTTCCGCATGTGCCATACTGTGCCATCAATAACATTGGTTCTAGTAAGCCATATAGACTTGGAATCTGAACACATACAACAGATGTGGGCACATGTTGTGGGGTTGTCGCTGTATACTGGCAAGCACACTTCACCTGTTACTCTCTGTAACCCTAACAAACCTATCTAAGTATCAGCAAACTAAATCACAACGTACTAGTATTGTTCAATACCGAACCAGTTCCTTGTCGTACCCTGCAGATGATGATTGTCAGAATGAGGATCCAACAAGTGAAGAGTGCTGCACTAATCTCAATATGATTGTCACGACAGGCTGATTCAGTCAGTCAGTCCTCCCTTGGTAGGCCTGGCATTATCTTGTGACCTTCTGGAACCATGACATCACCAATTCCACACAATTCGCTTCACCAGACATCTGGGGTAGAGACTCATCAATAGTCCTCACATAAAATGAGCATACAATGTATCTGCAAAATTCAGTCTGCATTACTTCCATGTCTGTGCTAGCCATATGACCTGCCAGAGGATTATCAATCATGGAGACACGCAGATATTTATCCTGAATCCTTCTGTGTGGAGGCAGTAGGTCTTGGTAATGTCATACTGTCCTGCTTTCCTGGCCCCCTCACCCTGCTCGGCCTGGGGGTGGGAACGTGTGCACCTTGCCTGCTACTTTCAGAGACCAGTGACGTGGCCTCAGATATTATGCCGCCGTTGCCATCGTCCAGCGTGCACACAGCTCCTGATTGTCTTGTCTATACACACACCTGGTCACAGTTACACTCAGATTCGGCGTGGATGCTGCGCGAAGAGAACACCCTGATACATGATGCCGTTGATCTCCATGCTGACTACCAGAGAGTTGTCAATCTCCGAGCGGCCATCATCTGAAATACAGACTAGCAGTGCCAGGTGAAAATGTCACTGGATAGAGGTAAGCATGTCACAGATCACAGATTGGGACTATGTATGGGTAAGCATGTCACAGATTAGAGATCACAGACTGGGACTAAGTAAGGGGAAGCATGTCACAGATCACAGACTGGGACTATGTAAGGGGAAGCATGTCACAGATCACAGCTTGGGACTATGTAAGGGGAAGCATGTCACAGATAACAGCTTGGGACTATGTAAGGGGAAGCATGTCACAGATCACAGACTGGGACTACGTAAGGGTAAGCATGTCACAGATCACAGACTGGGACTATGTAAGGGGAAGCATGTCACAGATCACAGACTGGGACTATAAGAGTAAGCATGTCACAGATCACAGATTGGGACTATAAGGGTAAGCATGTCACCGATCACAGATTGGGACTATAAGGGTAAGCATGTCACAGATCACAGATTGAGACTATGTAAGGGGATCCATGTCACAGATCACAGATTGGGACTATAAGGGTGAGCATGTCACAGATCACAGATTGGGACTATGTAAGGGGAAGCATGTCACAGATCACAGACTGGGACTATAAGGGTAAGCATGTCACCACCGATCACAGGCTGGGACTATGTAAGGGTAAGCATGTCACAGATCACAGATATGTACTTTGTAAGGATAAGCTTTTCACAGATTTGGACATAGTAAGGGTATCTCGCATATGGAAAACATGAATAGGGGAAGAATGTCCCATCTGAGAATATTGTTTGGGTCACAGATGACAGATGACAACACAGTGACATAATGAATATGTTACATATATTAGGTTACGTAATCAACACAAGCATGCCACATACAGAGGGAAGTATACAATACTTATGGGCTCAAGAGATATAGAGGAATCTATAGCATGGTAATGGGTACAACAGGTATTTTGTAAGGTAATTATGTTCATGTTCATATGATATAGAAACATAACAATATGGTAAACATCTCACACATGTGAGACTGTTTATAAAAGCCCCCATCAATACATTAGGCTGAGTCTGAGTTTAGTTTTAGCTTTTAGCAATGCAATATCCCGGCGGGGGACACCAGAAATGGGCTTAACACAGAATACATTAGGATGAAAGCCCTTAGAATCAACAACTTGATCACTAATACTATTCAATGTGAATTGGATTTTTTTTATATTTGAATAATAAACATAAACTAAATGCAAAGTACTTTCTAAATCAACATCACAGATGGTAAACGACTATAATGAGGCCACCCGATAGGTTGATATGGTTGACTATACACTTACTAAGGACTCTATGAACTGCATATACAGCAAAAGCTCAAGAAGACATCATAAGGACTTAGATGATCGCAATGCTGTTTAATTTCACATGTATTCCCAACCTTATTTCAATGGACACATTTTTATACCTGCATCTCTTATCCCATTCCACGCTATATCAATACCTGGGGGACGCCCTGACAGTCAGCCCACCTAGTGTGTTGGGTATTGGAACACCTACGTTATGTTCATTAGATATTGCTATCCACCCCTGACTGTGGCCTGGTCCCCTGGGCGGCGTGTACCTAGAGGCACCTGGGTTGTAGGGGGCCTGTCATGTGTGACCCATCACCAGCTCATCACTAATTCAAATACATTCTATGCCCCATGATCTTGCTTTGGCAAAAAATCCTCTTGATTCCATCCTGATATCATGCTTGCATGGAACAACATATCTTTCCTCTATTTAAGGTCTGTGTGAATAATTAACATCTCTTTTTGATAAGCCTACTGTTGAATTAAGCCATTTCCACGGATGGCACATCACAATGATGGTGCCACAATTGTTCAATAAACATACAGATTTTTTATGGGGCAGGGTGCAGTTGTCTCACACTCTGTAATCATGTCATTAAAAATTATAATTATTTCTGACATTTTTTTCTGCTTTATTTTCCAACAAGCTATAGAACAATGCCTCTGCAGCAATAATTTATTTCAGAACAACGTCTCGGAAAGTAACTGAGCTTACTTCGACTTGTGATCTTGAGATGTGCACTGGGCATACCAGCATGGGCCAGTATTCTTTCTTCCTCTGACAGCATGCGCTTGCGTGGCGGACCTTCCTCAATGGGCGTGGTGCGTGATGCCGCCTCCATCTTGCGGGTAGCTTCTTCCATAGCCCGCGTTGCCACCTCCATGGCGATAGCATCGCGCTCTGTCAAACCACGACCATGAGGAAAATGCTGGGGGGTGGGAGGGAGGCTGTCTTCGTCATCTAAAAAACACATTACATAAAACACTGAATGTGAAATCATTATCCCTTCCTCAAACTATAACGCATATATCTATTTCATTATTCTTTATGCTTTAGGTCTAGGGGAGTCCAATTAAGTTCAGGATTTAATGGAAAGCTGTACAGTTATATGTCATGTTTTTCATTATGACTTAATTCTAATTTTTCAGTTTGCAATAACCCAGAGTGTGGAAAGAGTTGAAAGGTGAAAGGTCATGAACATTACATATAAAACATGATCACATATGGCAGATGGTAATACAGCAGAAACTGCTGACTGAAGTCGCCAGATGAAAATAACACGATCGTGATGAACAAAACACGTGAGAAAGGAACACATTTTGTAAATTAAATACTTTCTTTCGCGGTGCAGAGTCATGATACCATCAGTTCCTTGACAAATACAACCATTATTGTAAAGCATGTGAACTGTGATATTTCTGTTTTGTCCGTTTGATAAAAGTATATTTCCCAAGATTAAAGGCTGCTCCATTAGGCAGTGGAGGAAAAACTTGACAAGGCAAGAAAAAGGAGAGGGAAAAAAATTGGAGGAAACAGACACAAGCAGGTGTGGTGATTTAGCTCAACTCTGACTGGATGAAAAAAGCAGCCAGCATTTGACATGATATCTAGCTTGGTATCGCCTGATATAACTTAAATTGACTCTGAACATGATTACATTGAATGGATTGCTTGTGTGAGCAGATCAAAGAAAAGAAGACGCAGTCTAGTGTGATCTCGAGGCCAGGCTGCCTGTCTTTACCACAAACACAAGTTGTTGTCTCATGATAAAGTGATATATATTTATAAACCCAGGGAGGTGAGAGGTCAACAAAGTTCTGATATCACCACCGATAAAGCAGTAATCGGAGAATCCTCGCCATATCAATCCAACCGAGACAATCCTGGGACTAGAATCCCAGTGATCTCACAGCAGAAGCCTCAGCTCTTGCCCCTTCATTGAGCCCACTTTTCTGACAAGGTATCCATTTAAATGGCCTTCACAGCGATTAAATTACTTTGAAATTATAGTCTACAAATTACTTCTCATCTTAGTGTAGTTGACACAGACCAACATTTACATTGTTGATTTACGATGGTCTACATCTGATAAGCTGCTCACTCCTGACTAGGCTTCAACTACAATCATCAGGTTTATAATTTCATCTCAATCCTCCCAGGCTGAACAATACTGGCATTCGATATCAAAATTACACCTCCACGATTAATGCCCTCCACTGTACTGAAACAACCCGGCCCGTTTCAGGAGCAAGCTTTTGAAAAGGCTCCTCGAAAGCACACCAGAAATTTCAAGTTGAATAAATGCATATCAGATCAAATTACGATAAATCTGACAGTTTTATTGCACTACTTGTGTAATTTATGTCAAAAAGCACTTATAAAGGCTAGCAGTTGTGCTCATGAGAGTGTCATACAATCCCTAAACAAATGACAACATATAAACTGATATCAAACCAATCAATTGCAATATTCATCTATGACTAACAGATAATATCTTCCTAACAACATCAACTTGTGATAGGTGAACAAGTTCTGTTCCATTGTTGTCTCATAATTTATAGTCTACCTTATCAAGAGTATTTCTCATCTATGACTAAACCTTTGTTGATAAAATTCGTATTTTTCTACAGATAAGATCTCAGATAATAAATTTGATATCTCCTATCATCAAGTTTTTAAATGAAGAATTATAAAACACAGCATAATATACAAGAGTAATAAAATGGTGGATGTACATAGTTAAGTATATGAATGAAATGATGAAGACAAGATAATTTTCTATACACAAATTCAAAACCAACAATACACATTCTATTCACCAACGCAAAAATGCAGGAAATATTTGTAAAAAGCAAGTTATTACCATTTTACGCCAAAATAATACCCAGACAAGATTGCACGGAACAGTTTATCCTCCCTTGAAACTACACATGACTGTTATGAATGCCAATCTGGGTTGGGTAAACATTTTGAAAGGGATGTACGCATGTTTCATCTCTCTATCAAACTTCTAAACATAATCATCATCTACTTACTGTCCATGTCAGGCCAGAGTTTGCCTGGGGATCCACCTCCGAGTTTGCCATTAAGTAGAGTGCCGTTGAGATGATGGCTTGTGGGGACCAGCGTGGGTCCAGGGGACAGGTCGTAGCCATAGCTGGAGCGACGCCCTTCCCGACGGTTACCGTCAATAGCTGCTTGTAGTTCTTGAGGAGAACTCAGCTTCAGCTTCTCACATTCATAGGGATAAAGGTACTTCATATACCTGGAAAAATACAAAATTATTATTAGGTTTTACAGATTTAAAGAGGGTTGGGGTGATCCTGTCATAGTAATGATGGTAAGGCTCATCATCAGCTCATGTACCCTTGTCCCCTCTACACGCACCCTAGACAGCGAATGGGACTTCTCCATATTATAATTATTATTATCAAAATATTGATAAATACTTCATTTTTACAGATGGCAGTTTGACATAATCTAGGAGTGTAATGATACATATTTTTGACAATTGTAAAAAAATATATGTGAAAACTAAAGCTGACATTTAAAGGATAAAAAGTTTTTAATTCACAGGGTTTTGTTTAGCTTTATGAGCAAAGCACCACTTCTGTCAAAACTGAATGGCTTATTGGACTTGAAAATGTCAATTTATAAAAAACAAATAGAGTATGTTTGCTTTTTTAAGAGTCACACAAACATAACTTCCCAAGAAGACAAAAAACCTCAAAGGAAACATGTTTTTCAGTGAGAGACGGTAACTGTCTTGGTGCAATCAGTTTCTCTAAGTTCCCACCAATTTCCACATATTCCCCAATTATCAAATCATGATGTCAATCCAAGAGTGTTCCATTCAAATAAATACTGATGACAATGGCAAATTGGCGCTAATGATTTGTCTGTATCACCTGATAAACATCATCAGATCATTACAACTTGTATACTTGTAAACAGTTTCTGAAGTGTGAGAGTTACTGCCTGCTGGTCTAGACAGGGCTTTTTACGTGTTTGTTACACACAGGCACTCTGACATCAGGGAAGTAGTATTCTGGATATTTTCGCTGATAATTATCACTCTGCACTGATAGGCTCACCTACTCCCATTGTCTGATAGCATGCACACAACTTCTATATACCTTTTTATGCCTAAGGCATAAACATCTGTTTTAACTGCAGATATACAGAAAATTGTACATCTAATCATTTGTTTTAAAAACACCAAATTTTGTAAAGTTCTACCGAATAGAAATTGGCACTGAATTAACAAAATGATAAACCGATATGAATCATAAATGTTGATATAATTTACAAATTACATCGGAGACGGTCATGAGGAAACTGTTTCAGGACAATAGCACACAATGAAAACTGCACCAAACAGGAGGCAGAATATGACCTTTTGAGTGCAGGTATGGCCCAAGCCTTAAGATAGCCATCATTATTTCTGTTGAACAAGACCAATGTAAATATAATCCTAGCCTTCGATACATGATTAACACACAACATCAATGCGGTCGTAGACTTTAGGTGGGATTTTTATTGTAATTCAAACATAAGTTCATTGTACCGCCCCAACAGGTGTAGTGTCTCAACACGAATCCACCCAAAAGTCTTTACAGAAGAACAAACATTACACAATTAATTGGACTTGTGATTGTAAAAAAATCCTCCACTATATAAAATAGTTCAGTGCTGCTTTAAAAACATCCTGTGTGTGGCTGCCAAAAAACAGAGTAACAAAAGTTGGGTGTCGAGCTGGGTGTAACGTGATAAATGTAGTTATAGAATAATGTGAGATTGTTAGCGAATTGCACACTATCAAGTATCTCCAACATATGTTGGTATCTTTCAATATAGTCAGACGTTTTCTTAGATTCTCCTAAATTAATGGAAGGCATGAACATATCTGCCTCGAAAGCAGAGGTTGAAAGCTCTGGCGAATGTGGTTACTTTAGCTTGATATAGATGGCCATATGTGTATCAAGAAAGCCGGAAATTATAATAAGCGTGTTGACATATTTGGAAGGAATTAGCTGCAAGACTCCTGGCTGTGGAATTTACATCTGTTTGGACAGCTGGAAGAATCTTGGGAAATCAAATTCGGAATTTGGAAGGCAAAAAATTAACTGGTAAATAATACACAGTGTGATTATTAATGACATTGTACTTGGAATGGGAACATCCAGACTGAATCAAAATACAAGGGAAAAACTGTAGGAAGCTAGGTTAATCTCCACCAGACTGAAGCAATTATTAAAGGAGCACCTCCCAAGTGAAACTGTTTCATCTTTCATCTTGTCTTGTATTCATATCCTCATGAAATCTTGTAAGGATTGGAGGTGACCTACATCATTAAACAGGTTATCTGTGCTCAAAAAGAAATTCTCATACAAGAACATGTTTAATGCAAACCAAAAACTTGCATCTAATTGTAAATTCACACATTACTTTAACATCGGTCTTTAAGTACAAACATTTTCTTTTATTTTGGGCTTTGCATCATAGCCTAAAAAAGAAAATGAAATTGGTATGTCTAAACCTAATTGATAGAAATAATTCATGAAACAATTTTCTTACAAGAATTGAATTGTCCTTTCAAAGCATTACCTAATTTAATTTGAAAATCATTGAAATCAATTTGATAAAAACAAAACTTGACCAATACGATATAAACAAGTTTCTCTTGCCTATCCCACAAGGCCAAGTTCTACACCAAGAAACCTGTTACCATTGTATATTCCACAACGCCAAACCGATATCTACACTGGTGATAGATATGTGATATAATGTGAGGTATCTGGACAGGATACTATTACCGATCGTCTATGAATATCTATCTTGATAGAAGCAGCTATGTGGCGCATATGGAGAGTATTACATGTTTGACTTTTATCACCAGCAAGCAATCCTTGAGTCTGACACCGGGTCATCAACACTATTATAACCCCACATAAACCCAACCTCCTAGCGATGGGGGGCAAGTTATAGCCCCAAACAGACATATGCCAGTACCAGCAAATCCCTACAGAGGCCAAATATTTACATGTGTGTGTGCATAAAGAGGAATAAACATATGTCTGGGCTGGACCAGGAACAATGTTTGTGATGTATTTGACAATAATGATGATGACTATGCTGTATGTGTGGAGACTTGCTGTATCTGAGTCTCAGAGGTTGTGATGGAAACTGAGTGCCAACCCTTGGCGCTAGAACGGTACTAATGCCAGAACTTAATCTTCTTCACATCTGCTGGTTCAGGTAGCCTGCTGGAGTCATCACCACAATCTCACATTAAGAGGTCACTTTGATTCACCCATATATTACTTAATCCCCTCTAACCTTCAGATCTTTAATTAGTTCTGCAAGATCTTCACTAGGGAGCTATGTATTGGGGCCATTAACCTTTTGTGTCATCAAATAGGTTGTGTTGTGTTATTGCTTTACCAGCTTAATTCTAACTTAATTACAGGAAAGACATGTTCTCTAAAGAGAGACCCTCCAACTAAGTTTTACTTCAAAAATTTGGAAAAAAGCTAAATTGGAAATATCATGACTTACTTACATTGTTCAAGATTTAATTTTTTTTAATATATTGCTAATATAAGAAAACTGCCGGTTTAATTACCATTTGATAACTGCCATATTTACCAGCTTAAAACTCAGCCAAGTAAATGTATAGAACACACACGATAGACTAATACAGCACTTCAGATATGAATTCCTTTCACTTATTTATAGCCTACAAATAGCTTTCTTCATGTCTATATGATATCACATTCAATTAACATTGCCTGACACGAAATTGCCCAATAATCAAGGGAATTTGAACATTTCTTTGATCCTCCTAAATATAGATTCTTAATATCTGTCTTTCTCATTCCAAGTTGCAAAATGCTGTTTTTTCTGCTCTGTAGGTCACATTGTAGCACTTATTGGAAGGTAATATGCACTGGAATATTCCACCTTCAGGAACTATTCCCCTGACTGTTCCCTTCCCCCTCCCTGACCCCTCCCTGGTGCTGCCAGTTAACCATAGGTAAACACCACAATTACAGTTCTACCTTCCACCGACACCTCCATAACCAACCAATTGATCACATACGTGAGTTTGCAACTTCTCTTCATAAATATTTTACTTGAATTAAGAATTACATAATATTTCCTTGCCTGGGATAATTGGAATTTGGCCAGAGCAATTGATTGTTCTTCCGCATAATTGACTATGGTAACATTTGGTGGCAACAATGAATATTTCATTTTAACACATCTTCCAAATCATTTGGTATCAGAGTAGCAAATGAAAGTAATTCAATTTTGTTTGCAGCGTCGAGATCTGTAAGCCATCAGATAGATGGAGCTAGCTACAAATGGAGTATATCGCTGGTCGATAACTCGCTCATCTCCAGGTAGTATTTGCAGTGGGCTGCGATGTGCCAATGAGCAGTGGATAATTACTGATAACTTCAGTTTAATTCCCTACATCAATAGTGCTCAACACCAGTAACGGGAATAACCCCTGTTCATTAAATCCCACGTGATAAAACACTATCTAATTGTACCACTTTCATTTGCTATAGAAATGTGCCTGTGTTTGATTTGTCACATTACCTCTCATAGAGAGGATGATGCAAGATGCCCATCCCAAAGCATGGGACATAGATTGATTTGTTCCATATTATAAGGGACAGGGGGAAATACGACAATTAGGCTTAATTGTGTGAAGGAAAGGGAATTAACTCCAATAAACTGATGGGAGCCAGTCCTCTCTAATGCATTTCTATGGGCTGAGACAAGGGTATTCCCTGCTCTCCTAACTGCTGGTATTTTTGCAATTCGTAATCATCTTATTATGAAATTATACCCAGCCAATCAAGGACTTTTTCTGTCTTTAATATCATTACAACAAAAGGCTTGATAACAAGTCATTAAATTAGATTTCCCTCCAAAGTAAAGGCCCAAATTTTCAATCAGATTTTTTTCTTTGGGAAGTTCTAAGATGAAATTCACAACAAAAAGTTTCTAAAGTTTGTTGGATAAGATAGAATTGTCATTAATAATAAAAACTGCTTGATGTAATTCCTGCCAAGGGAAATCTGTTCAGTCTGTATTCATTGTTGAGAGATTAGAAGTCATGAGGCTCTTCCTGGATCTACAGGTACAGGGTCTGCAGATGATGTGTGTTCGTGAGTGAGTGGTGGGTGAGTGTTGTATGTGTTCTGTGGTTGAGTGTGTTCGTGAGTGTTGTGTGTGTTCTGTGGGTGAGTGTTGTATGTGTTCTGTGGGTGAGTGTTGTATGTGTTCTGTGGTTGAGTGTGTGTGTCTGTGGGTGTGTGTTCTGTGTGTGTGTGTGTGTTCTGTGGGTGAGTGTTGTGTGTGTTCTGTGGGTGAGTGTTGTGGGTGTTCTGTGGGTGAGTGTTGTGTGTGTTCTGTGGGTGAGTGTTGAGGTCTGAGTGTTTTATGTCATCAGTTGGAGAGTGTTCAGAATGATCTGTGGGTGAGTGTTGTGCATGATCTGTTGGTGAGTGTTCAGTGTGATCAGTGTGTTCTGTAGTTGATCGTTGTGTGTGTCCTGTGGGTGTGTGTTCTAGGGTCTGCAGATGTTCTGTGGTTGATTGTTGTGTGTGTTCCAGGGTGGATTGTTGTGTGTGTTCCAGGGTTGATTGTTGTGTGTGTTCTGTGGTTGATTGTTGTGTGTGTCTTGTGGCTGATTGCTGTGTGTGTCTTGTGGTTGATTGTTGTGTGTGTTCTGTGGTTGATTGTTGTGTGTGTCTTGTGGTTGATTGTTGTGTGTGTTCTGTGGGTGTTTTCTAGGGTCTGCAGATGTCCTGTGGTTGATTGCTCAGTGTTCATGTGTTCTGTATGTGAATGGTATAGTAATGTGCTCTGTAAGTGAATGCTGTATGATTGTGTTCTATATGTGCATGTTGTAGTAATGTGTTCTGTAAGTGAATGCTTGCTACATGCATGTGTTCTGTAAGTGAATGTTATATGCATGTGCTCTATAAGTGAATGCTTGCTGAATGCATGTGCTCTGTAAGTGAATGCTGTATGATTGTGTTCTGTATGTGCATGTTGTAGTAATGTGCTCTATAGGTGAATGCTTGCAAAATGCATGTGTTCTGCAAGTGAATGCTATATGAATGTGTTCTGTAAGTGAATGGTATATGCATGTGCTCTATAAGTGAATGCTTGCAAAATGCATGTGTTCTGCAAGTGAATGCTATATGAATGTGTTCTGTAAGTGAATGTTATATGCATGTGCTCTATAGGTGAATGCTTGCTGTATGCATGTGCTCTGAAAGTGAATGTGCTCTTCAACAGGCAACTACCCGTAAAGGTTAGAATGAACCTTCAGTAACCCATGCTTGTCGTAAGAGGCGACTAATGAGATCAGGTAGTCAGGCTCGCTGGCTTGGTTGACACATGTCATCGGTTCCAATTGTGCAGATCGATGCTCATGCTGTTGATCACTAGATTGTCTGGTCCAGACTCGATTATTTACAGGCAGCCGCCATATAGCTGGAATATTGCTGAGTACTGAAAACTAAACTCACTCACTCACTCACTCAACAGGCAACTAGTACCAACACCTACTGTGTTCTGAGTGTGAATGCTGCACTGGTGATGGAGGATGGGAGGTTGAGGCCCTTGGTGATCTCCCTCCACAGCTTCTTGTTGATGACCTCCACGAGGCCACCCTTGGACACCACGAGGCGGAACAACTCATACAGGTCCAGGGTCTGCTTGGCCATTATGGGGATCCGATTCACAGGAGTCCCTGCAACATAACAACCAGTGTCACACAAACTTGCAACATATTTAACAGATGCATGTTCACAAATACACCCATTAGTTCACACATGCAATACTCTCTCTAACACCATGAGACTGGAATTTGGTTCGAAGTGGTGTCAAACCTATCATTTGCTCAGTCACAGACCCATAGAATACATCTTTAATTATACAGTTAGACATATTCCATTCCCATCCCCTAGTTAAGTCATCCTTGATACTGAGGGTTCCTTTATGAATTATTGTTGTTAAGCTCATACTTTACTTTGTTTCTGAGACTTATATTTGTTGAATATCAGCAGTGTTCTCTAGGTAGGCACATAGTCAATGTGATTGTCCTAACACTTAACAAAATCAAAAACCAAAAAGAACTAATAGGCATTGGCTGTTTCAGTATTTTACCACCACCACCAAACTGTGGCACTGTCTACTCCTAACAGAGGGTTATCACACAGAAGCATTGATACAAAGAAAGTCACTGAATCAGGCTGCCTTAGACTGATATATAGTCTCGAAAATAAAACATTATTCTATAAAGGGAAACCATAAGTTTCTAAATTTCGGGGCTGAAAAAGTAATGTGTATAAATAAGAGTGATTGTTTTTTCAAATATATCGTCCACATTCTAATTCCCAAAAGAAGGACTTATCAAACCTGTCTTTGATAACACAAACTTCAATTTTACAGATCTTGAAAGGCATTAAAAGTTGGATGGACATGAATACATGACATGTTTTTATGGATTTTATTAACTTATTATTATTCTTTATACAATGTTTCAGAGCTAATTCTTTATCCTTGATCAGGTGAATTTTATATTTACAAAGATTTACATCAATCTTCAGACATAAAAGTTAATGATAATATTTTCAATTACGTCATTACTCCTACACAGTAAATACATGATGTGGAAAAACACAAAAACTGTCACAATCAGAAATCCTCAAAAATTAATCTAAACAGTAACTACCACAAGAAATCATGATGTATAATGTGAATTCTCTGTTAATGCTATCAAGCCTAAGTGAGCCAATCAGTGTGCTCCTCTGTAATGATAAGCTTGTATCTGCAGTATGGATGAATGCACTGTGGAAAATGTCATTATTACCGTGATACCAGCTTGATAAGGGTCAATAAATGTATTACATCATAAGTGACTTATCTGAACCCATGAAGGAGTTACCAAACTCCATCAAGCCCATACTAATGCACCATCCCTTATTCATTATAACAGCATTAGGGGAGGCAATGGGAAGCTCTTATCAACTCGATTACATTGCCCCTTTAATTGGCAGCTGGTATAAAACAATATCACACACAGTCTGCCTGCTGGCGCTGGGCTGCTGGAAGCAAGTCCCAGACTCTGGGTGGTAGCTGAGCATTAACTGTAATAGCCTCCCAAGCGGTTTGGAGGGTTAATGTATATAGCTGAATTATATTTATTGTTAACTTTTAAACATGACCTATTGTTGAACAATGTACAATGAACATAGTACCAAGGTGTAAATCTACCTGTTGGATTTGTAATATTTGTCAGATAAATGAGATTGATAGTGACTGTAAGTATTTCATAATTATTTGGACTTTTGATTAATGTGTGAATTGACTGTGGGTTATGTTTCATGCAATTGTGCTGTTACTTTGGTCTTTCTGTACTGTTTGCTTAAAGCATTCTGTTGGTAACTTAAACACACAGCCTTGGTATTATTAGAGCTATCACATTAAAAAAGAAGAAGTTCCTTTTGAACCACAGAATAATTAAATTAAAAATTATATTGATTGTTGTTCAACAATGAACTAATACAATAAAAACATTATGAAATTTATTATATGAGTCCAATATATTCTTACTTCAATCTAAAACATCTTTATTTTTGTACCTCAAAAAAAGTTCGCATATACCAAAGTTCATGCTCTTTCTCCCATAAACAAACCTCTATCAAGCACAAACCTATGTCTATGAAAACCCTCCTACTTGTTCAGCATGATGCCTGAACAATAGTAAGTGTTATTGCAGCATTCCTATTCAGTTCATGTTTCAAACTTCAGTGTTTTATGGCAACATAACTTGTTCCAGTAAATTCCCTTTACAAGCCGCCAGTGGTCCCTGCCCTCCCAAATGTACCCAGTATCACTGATACAGCTCATATACATTCACCCCCAGCAGGGCATGAAGGAGAGAAGTGGTCAGCTTCATGGTAAAGTCATCATCGGGGCTTTGTGGGCTGGGGTGGCGATATATCACACACAACAGCTCATCGACATGCACAATTGCAGCACATCAATGTGACCAGCTGTTCCAAGATAAATCAGTATAGAGAGTCGGTGGACCACAGCAGCTTTGTGGAGATTTACTGCTACTCCCATACACAAGGACATTCAAGCTACCATAAAAGTCTCTAATTTCACAGATATCAAGGGGTATCTTCATAAAACATGTCACAACTGAATAGCCTGATTTGTTCATCAGAAACAACTTGCCTGCCTCTCATTTCAATGACAATGAAATCAATGTATCAACATTTATTATTCAAGAAAACATGTTATTTAATATATACTTTACAAAAAAGAATAAAAAGCCATTTCAACTGGAACTGTGCATGGTATTAAGATTACAGTGATAATGAAGATGTGTTTATTTGGGTTTATAATGCATATGTGATATACAGAGGAACGGTGAGAAATATCCAGTGATGGCACCAAGGTGAGTGTATAAGCAGTGTTGAATGCTCTTCATGAGTACATGATTAATGTGATGTAAGACGGCTTATCTGGCGCCTGTTGACAAGGTTACAGCACCACAGCAGCTAGAGAGAGCAAGTCTATCTGCCATCCATCAGCACCAGCCAGCAATATCCCCTACCTCAACCTACCAACTTGATCCATGCCATATGGGCCAGGCTACACACAGAAAGACAAAGCTACAAATGTATCTAAGTCATAATTTACATGAGTTGAGGAACTGGAGCCTAATCTTCCTCACCAGGGGGTCAAACAGTAGTGACCTCTGGTGTTTATAAACTTCCGCCAACACTTCAAGCATTCATCACCCCCTTGAAATGATTGCCCCTTGATCCCCCTTAAAGTTAATGTCTCTTGATGTAAGTTGTCTCCTGCATATGCTGCTAATGCTAGGCCTTTTCTGAGATGTGCCTCTTATCTGGGGAGCTGTTGTTAATTCTTGATAAAATGATGCTAAATGATAAACACATGGTGTGGGGGTCGAGGGAAGCAAACAAAATTACTGAGCACTCCCTGTATACCACAAAGCTACCATAAAATCTTTCAATGCTTTCAGTTAATAATCCTTGATGGGCCATATTTTACGGAATATTTTGCAGTAATCACAAAAAGGAACAGTTGAAGGCTAAGCCGCTATTAACGTCAAAACATGATTCCCTCTTCGAGCGCTATAACGAGGCATCAGCACCAGCCCCCCACTTCTCCCAAGTCTTGATCCCTCTAATGTTTATACAGTTATCTGAGAGCGGTATTCTCTAATGTTTGAACAAACATCTTGATGTTACTTGGAAGTCTGTCGGAAATGAATCTAAATAAAATCAAATAATTGATGAGAGACATTTGTGCGGGGTATTTTTTCTGTATGGAGCGGCTTTTGTATTAATTACATTATGTTCTGCAGTACAGAGCTTCAAGTAGCTGGCTACAGAGCCAGGTAGGCTGTGTATCCATGCTCAAGTCTGGGCTTGGGTGTGAAGATGCCACAAAACACCACCAACAGGCTCGCACCTCAACAAACAGGAAAAGAGAGATTTCTGGTGGAATTAGAAGGAATACAATGTTGAAAATGGGAATTATTTTATCTCTGTCTCACTTCAATGCTTACGTCAACTGAAAGAGGGATGGGTTTTTAAGGAATGTATTTTAAAAATCCATTTTCTAAAAACAACAATCTAGTTGATTGATTTTAGAGCTGTTTTAATGCATAGTATATTTTTGAAACTTATATTTTTAGCAAAGAAAACATAATCACAATCTAATAAATAATTGATGCTAATATTTTTTTTTTAAATATGAAAATGTTTGTAAAATAATTACTTATGGATATGAAAAATGTATGTTTTAAATTAAAATATATTTGAACATCAGAAACAATTTCTAGAAGTTGGTAGTTGACCTCTGAATAGTAACAGTAAATGTAAAGGGTTGTTCCGATGAAAGTGAGTTGACACTTGCACTTAACTAAATGAAACCCCATGGAGAAAACCCACAAATGGCTTCCTCAAAGCTGACCTTCCCAACAAAGGCGCGCTCTAATTTGGGCAAAAGATTTCTGTCTAATCTCTGACAACAGGCAGTTGACTTTTGCCCTGCTTTAGAGCTACGACTGGTTGGTATATACCCGACACAGACAAATTCCAGAACAAATTCCAGATTTCTATGTTAGCCATAGCGTAGAAGAGACCATCCATGAGCCCTGCGCTGTGATCATGTGCTTATGAACTTTAACAACACTACTTAAAATTGTCTAAAGTGTTATACTGCAAAGCTGAGGAGAAATTCCACAGCTTTCCACTACTGTTTGATGTTTTACTTCATCAATGTCTTCCTCAATGGAGAAAGAGGAAGAAGTCACGGAAGGATGAAATCACCATAACACTTTTATTTACAGCTATTTAATTGTAATCATTAATGATCTAATCTCATTAAATTAATCTAATCATTTCCTCAACCTGGCACTAAAGGATTTATCCAATACCATGAAATTATGAATTCAATAAAATTAATTAACTATCATCAAACATTTTGTTTTGCTATGATTACCTTACCTCATGAATTATGAAATATTCAGGATTAGTTACATCTGTAGATTCTCATCATTAATGTTAATTGCCCGCTTGAGCACACTTGAATTGCAAAGTCATTGCTAAACACTAATACCAAATTATTAGGATCATCATTGATTAAAACTTCATTCTTTCTGAGCCAGGATTGAGTTTTACAAATATCAAGTGAATATTCAGT